CAAGAAATCGAAGGACAAAAAGGCAACAGGAGATAAGCCATAACGGCAGGACAAGATTGAGTGGAGGCACACGAAACACAAAAAAACATACCGAAAACAATGGGAGTCCAAGGAAGGTTTCTGAGGCTGCTGCGCAAAGTCACTTTCAGCACTGTCTGGGACTTCGCCAGGCTTGTCAGCCTCGTCACGCATTCAGCTGACCAACTGTGGAGCAACAGTCGCATGCAAAGAGGGCTGTGGGAATTAATTGAAGTAGGTTGGAATGTGGCTCGTTTTCGTCCTCGTTTTCGTCAGTGGAGTCTCAACCACATTGGCTGGCTTTTGCCGTTTCTGCTGTGCGTGGTGTTTTTACGTCTCCCAGGGTCAGATGGATCGTCCACTCGCCAATTAATTTCATCCTGCTGCACAAAAGCGATCAGATTACATCGGTACTTTTGCATGGCCCGGGCCACCAGTGTAGTCGACGCCTACAATTTCCATCTTCTCGTTCTCACTGACATGCTGGGCACTTGTGCATTTGGTGCGTTTAGCGGTTTGCTGCATGTCTCTGCTGTGTCGACACCTGTGTTGATAACACGCGGTCGGATTGCATCTCTTCGCCATCTGCGCGCCCTGCCGCTACGGTAGGAAGCCCGAAGCTCTGCAAACCCAAACTTTGTTCGGTGGAGGTGGACATCGCGCCATACCAGTTGCAGGTTCATGGCTTCGAGACTTGGACAGGGAACAAAGCAAAATCCTGCAAACAGCTGCAGGCATCTTCAATGCAGGAATGGCAAGCACACGGTGTGGTTGCAAACGCAGGTCAGCATTGTGCATGCTTGCAAAGCTTGCAAGCAGCAAACTTGTTCGCGCACATCAGCTGCGAGATAGCACACCATTGTACTAAGGCATGTTCTCAACGATACCTGAACATTGCTGTTCGGTTTAGGAATGCGCTTGATGGAATCCTCGTGCAGTCCTCTACATCGCAGCTGGAAGCAAGAAAATTAACATATCACAACAGGCCGTGCGCGGGCTCTTCTGTCTTTGGACTTGTGAGCGAAAACACTCATCCATGAATCCATGGTGACATTGACACCCCTGAAGCTCAATGCGAGGCGCAGTCGTTGCTGTGTAGAGAACAACCCGATATCGTGCCTGTATGCTCTTCACGCCCTCAGTCTCTAAACCTCTCCCTCAATGTTCGAAGTCCGGAAGCTGCCTTCGGCTCCTCTGTTGGCTCCTCACCCGTCTTGTCGATGTTGTTAGCTGCTTGAAGTGCCTTTGAAAATGCGGCCATGCGGTCGGTTCAGGTCTTCCGCAGCCATCCAGGGTCCCAATTTTTAGGGCACAAACTTTCGTAGGCAATGCTCAAACTATCGTTGGCGCAAACTTTCGTGGACAGGCGTAAGCTTTGGTGAGTAAGGCACACACTTTCACACAGTGAATTTCTGAGAATAGGTGACTTTGGGTTTGTCGGGATGCTGGGACCTCGCCTGATAAAACCTTGCTGGGCCCAGTGCTTCCACTACCAAAGGCCTTGCGCCAGGCCCCGAGCTCTGTCAAGCAGGGGCCGAATCCAGCGTTTTGGGGGTAGGTAGAAGCGCACGAGAGAATAGTTCGGGTGGGGGGTAGGGCTACTACGTCATGCGAGCGTGCAATCGGGAGTGCCTCCCTTATGTTTGAAGAACAAGCGCACTTTCATTTCCGCGCCTGATACACACACCCCAAACCTTAAACCCTGAAGATGAGAATAAAGAGAAATTGTATGTATTTCAATACGAGGCTGTGGACTGGACATGCTCAAGGCTGAATGAAGCGGGATGAACTAATCTGCAATGGCCACTACAGGAGGACCTCGCTCGCAGCCAAAAAGAGCCCTGAGCCGTAACCAACCAACAGCCTATGCGCGCCCATGCCCGCCTGTCCACGCCCGCCCGCCCGCCCACGCACACCCACGTGCGCACGGCCCCATGTGCCCGTGGCACCTGGTCGTTCACGCCCCGACGCACACGCCCTCACCCACACGCCCCGACGCACATGCGCCCCGCGCACACGCACCCTCGACACACGCGCAAGTGTATCCCAGTTGCCAAGTATGCATCAGTGAAATGTCCGGATCCCATCAACCGATGCAGCCCGTGCTGCAGGCCATTACAAAGGAGGCCCTCGTTGCTTCCTAGCCATGCTTTCTGGCTTGTTAAGGTCTGATCCACGATCAGGTTACTGCACATGGCACACATCTGGCTAAACAAGCAGTTCCTGCCCATGGCAATTGGTGACAGGCAGTTCAGGGACCGTTGCATAATTTGCATCGAAGAAGCAGCTGCTATCACCTCACTGGGCCATTGGGCATAGCTCTGGTTTTGTAGGGGCCCTAGCTGGGCGGCGGCAGCATTGAATCAACAGCCGACAGAGAGAGAGAGAGAGAGAGACCAGAGACCAGAGACCAGAGACCAGAGACCAGAGACCAGAGAAAAGAGAACGAGAACGAGAAAGAGAAAGAAAAGAGAGAGAGAGAGAGAGGAAAAACGTGTACTTTCTCTGTACATAGTGTGATAGCACGATGTCGTGCCATGTAGTGCCGCTCTAGCGCCTGCGCGTCGGAGAGCGCGCGGAGGAGGGCATCCTGGAGAGCGCTGCGGGCAATTCATGGCGGATTCTACAATGGCGAAGAGTCTCATTAACGATGGATTCTGATTGCAAGGAGACACTTAGCAGGTTTTTCATGGCACGCTGAAAGCTTCGGATACTCCCCCAAAGCTCCAGATTGGGAGTCTGAGTGAAGTTGTCTCTTTTGGGGCATTTCTGTATGGGCGCTTTCAAGCTTGTTTCGCGTTCGCTTCTTTGAGGGCTTAAACAGGGTACATGCGCACTCGCATGACGCGCGACAGGTGGAGTCAGAGGGACAAGAAGCTCCGAAATGAAGCCCGTGACGAAACCAGGTCTTCTTCCAGGCGTCCGACCATCCAGGATGAAGTTCCAAGGAGGTTAGGGCATACCTTCAAACAATATTACGCTGCTAGCCGCGTGCCCTCACCCCAGCAGCTGCGCCTTCGTTTCATTAGCTCGGGCTGCTGCGTTTTGCAGCTGCTCCTGGCAAGATGGGTAAGAGTGGACTACAATGCCAGATTGCACTCTGTGCTAGAACTTTACTTTTCTCAACCCTTCTCACAGCAGGAATATGGCGTTTCAGCTGAACAGCGCCATACACTCTGCCGACATGCTGTCTTAAGTGCTGTTAGGCTCTACAGCTTGATTCAAGAAGACGGGAAGCAATAGAAAACCATGGAACATGCCTAGGTGCCACACCTTGGCTTCGGATGCTTTGCGTGTGGCTTGCTGCAGGAGCTCCTTCCAAGTAGCACGAACGTAGGAAGCCCTTCGTTGCTGCTGAACATTGGACTTTACGTATCCATCTGGGCAACACGCTTATCAATGTGTGATATGTGGACAAGACTGTGCTGGTTTTGAACTGAATGTTCTGTGCAACAAAGCCTCAGACGTATCGAACTGGTACCCCAGAGCTCAGCACAATCCTGCAAAACATCAGCTCCTTTGCTTTGGAAGCTTCTGCGCCAGTTTGCAGCAACTGCTCCTGCAACATGAGCAGAAACCTCCTTCACGACGAGTAAGAGCTTCCGTGCAAAGTGTAGATGTAGAACTGCTTGATGCATTCTTGAGACAGGGCCGCAACCCAAAAGCTTGCTAAACCATGGTGACCCACACCCCACGCACCGCCTCAACTATTGTTTCCAAACCAAGATCATCCGTGCGTCTGACCAGGACATACTAAAATGCCAACATGCAGGGCAACGCTGCGATTTGGATGCAAGACTGATGCAGACGTTGCGGACGTTCCTGACTAGGCGTTGGAGGTGTGATTAGGTGTCTCGATCGCACTCCCGACCGAGTCCTTCAGCAACGCAAACTCTTGGTGGCTTCGCACGAGGCTCTCGGCAAGCTCATTTCCAGCCACCCTGGGTGTCTCTTTCTTCTTCTGCCAAACGCTGTCCCTTGCCCGGTGTCGCATGTCCCGTTCAGCGTGAAGCACGTGGGGACCCACCCCCAAGGATACAGTAACGCGTTCAAGAAACACACGCGGAGGACAAAAGACCCGCGCCCACAATCGTCAAGCAAGTTGTGGGCTTCGAGTCGGACATGACACATGCCACAGGAGGGGGAGGGGAGGGGAGGGAGGGGGGGAGGGGGGGAAGGGGGAAGGAGGAAATTGGTCTCTGGAGAGTCCGCGCGCGTCTCTCTCACGAGCAATTGCGATCGAGGACATGATGGCACTTATGACGACGGTTCGGCTTCAACGGACCTGGGATCCAAAAGTGGATTGGCTCATACTCATACACACAATTGCTCCGGGCAAAGCCTGAAAGCAAAATATAGCGCTCAAACTCATGCGTTTCAACCTCCAAAGAGCTCGCTCAAGACATCTGAGCACACTTGGGAATCTGTAAGCGGGCGTTGCGGTGTTGAGTGTTGATGCAACTAGTGGCTCTGCTACGACTACGAGCGTCAAGATTGCGAAATTGAGATCACCGTGCTGAAAATGACTATACGATTGATCGGCTGGAAGCGTCTGGTGGAGCATGAGAAATGGGTGCTTCAAGCAGGCTAGTCGCAATATCCACAACCTAATTGCTGGCGCACAAACAGTAAGGCCAAGACTCGACGGGCTTTTGGACAACTGGAGAAGCTGCAGGAGTCTTCTGGTCCTGCGAGTCCTGTCCCTTTTTGAAGGGCTCGTGCACTTGAAGGTCCTTAAATTTTCCGGTGTCTATGGGGTCCTTCTCCTTCTGACTGGGCGCCGTGGGCGTGGGCGGATCTGGATCCTTGGGCTGCTTGGGGTGCTTGGGCTGCTTGGGCTGCTTGGCCTGTTCTGGTGCCGGTTGGGTTTCCTGAGACACTTGGGGCTTCGCAGGCTCCGCTGGTTCCTTCGAAGCTTTGGCATCCCTTGGGTCCTGTCCGGCAAGCTTTGCATCCTTTGCATCCTTTGCATCCTTTGCATCCTTTGCATCCTTTGCATCCTTTGCTGGCAAAGGCCGAGCTTTGTCGAGATCTTTTGCCTCCTTCGGAGTCGGATCTTGACAAGCGGGATCCTTTGCCCGCTCGGCCTGCTTGGCCTGCATGGTCTCCTTGTGGCTTGCGGCTTCCTCCTCCGGATGCTCAAAACAAGTGGTGGTGAGATGAAGTTCACAATGGCATACCTGGATCCACATCTTTGTCGAGCTCTACATGCACCCACTCCAATTTGTCATGAAGCGAAGGCATAACCCTGATCGTTCAAGGGCGTAGCGCGTCAGGGCTGAAAGCATGAAGTGTCAGCCTGAACTGCCTCATGGTCAGGATCACAGGATCACCACACAAATGGCGGTTGTAGTGCCTTCACTGGAGGAGGCTGTCCCTTTGCGGCTTCCCCTTCTGCCTGCAGCTGACGGCATGTCTGGTCTCACAGGTGCTCACATGCAGCCGTATGTCAATGGGACTGCCTTCCATCGCTCAGCACTCGAGCTTTCCAGATCTGCCTGCACGGATTAGTGTCCAAGGCGATCAAAAACATGCCTCAGCCTGCCGGCCGTTCCCCATGCAACTGCAGCCCGCAGCTCACGTCTTGATCTCAAGCCCAGTCTCAATACCTTGTACTGCCTGGATGGCAGGAGCAGCAGATGCCCTTGGCTGTTGGGGGCTTTAAGAGCACACCCAGAAGACATGCTTCCATCTACAGAGTCTACGCATGCGCTTGTGTGGGCTGCATGCGGCAAGTTGACGCAAAAATTGTCAACCAAATTCAGGGTTGCACTCTTGCTCCGAAAGAGTTTCAAGTTTGAGTCGACGCATCTTTGGTAAAAGTTGTAAAGTTGTATCCTTCCCAGATTTGTAAAGTGAGGGTTTGCTTTTGCTTTGGAGGATACATGTGGAAGCTTAAATCGGTCTTAAGGTGCTGCTAAATGCCGAATGTGATGTTTTTCAAGCTCGCAGCCGATGCACCCGGAGATATTCTCCAGAAGCCAATCAGCAGCCGGCAGATTTTCAGACCGGCTTCAGTTCTCGAGGGGAGTGAGATCTGAAAGCATCTTTGCGACAACTTCAATCTGGTGGCCTCTGTACGATCAAGGCATGGTACTTTCTGGCACTCAGCCCTCATGCACTAGTCCTGAGCTCGCCCAGCTCTACGAAGTTACCTCGCGAGCAGCAGGGTCTGGGGTTTGGGGAGAGTCCTGGAAATTCGACGCAGAGAGATGTCAGAGATGTGTAGCCGTGGCCTGCTGGACCAGAATGGTACGGCCCGAACTTCTCTGCGATCCTGGGCAGGCAAGGCCAGCAACAGCGGCTGTTGACATCTCCTGGTGCTTCGGCCAGGTCATTGCAAAGACTGTTAGACATTCCAATTACTGCGTGCAAAGACTTGCAAGGTTCGTGTTTGTGTCCCCTGTATCATCAAACATGTTCAGGCCGTGTCCCCAGAGCTTTCGCTTCTTTGCAAGTGAGGGCTTCCTAATCACTGATGGGCAGTGGGTTCCGATCTGTTCATGCCGGAATACCAGAGAAAGGCCTGAGGCCTTTTTCTCTTCCCTGCTGAGCTTGGCGGTGCAATCTTTTTAAACCCCAGGCTGGAGACACGGACTTGACATGGTTGTCGCTTATGACCAAAAAGGGTTTTCTGTGCCAGGCACGAGCTGTCGACCAATTTGGATATTTCTGCGCGGCCTCATTGGCGTTTCAGGAGTGCTACCCTTGCAACATTCGTTCTTCTGTTCTTCCTGAATCTTTTTGGTGAACCTCGTCCATCCATGGCCTTCACCCGTCCACGCCCTGGCCTACTGTGTCTGAGGAATCCAAGATGAAACGAACGCACTACAATCTGCAAGATTGGCTATTGCACGGCTTGGCGTATCTTGGATCCCCACATCTATGATTGAAGCTTGGTGTTGATATGGACAAGGAAATAAGGACGACCAATTGTTCATACCAGGCTCGTTTTGCTGCTTCGTTGGCATTTCAGCACCATGGGGACGTCCGTTTCGCCCGCTGCAGGATACCAGCCCTCACCAACTGGCGAGCCTCTGAAGCTGGAGAGCTGCAAGAGCGACCGACCGGAGGGCAAAATCCACAGCGCTACGCAACAGCGCAAATCAGTATTATCTCCGCCTCCAGACCCGTTGCCATCGTCAGGGCAACAAAATAAAACCTGGGTTCGGAGTGAGAAGCTGGTCGTGCAAACGCATTGCCCTCATAAATGCTCTTTCCCAGGCTCTTTGTTCAATCTTGTTCTCTGTGAATATTGGGCAACAACCCGTGCGTTCTTGAAGCCAAGCACCCGCTCTCCGACCAGTAGGTGCCTTGCAGCTTGCAAAGCCATGCGCTCTCGAGGGACTAGTATGACAAAAGAGACAGGTCCTAGCTTCGGGCCATGGGGCGGGGCAGGCAAGACATTGCAACAGTCTTTTTGCGCAACCTCAAGCATGCAACTCTTGACCAGCCCTAGAAGGCTGAGCCGTAATCAACTGTTCCAAATCCAGGTGCCACCGGTGTCGTTCGCTTGACCAACGAATCGAACAGTCTGGGCCGCCAGTGGATTTAGCCTTCCAGATCAAGTGTCTCAATGAGAAGGCCCCGACCTCTCCCCTTTACAAACTAAACCCCAAACAGTTCGCGGAGACAGCCGGCGCTCAGGGGTCTAAAGCTTCGGGCCTTAAGCCAAGCAGGCTAATTGGTGGGTCTCCTTTGTTTACGTTTTTTTTGCTGCTCCTGAGGATTTCCTGGGGAAAACAAAATCGCGCAAGTCGACTTGCCGCACCTGGGCCATCACTCTGACAAGCAGCCGCCAGCCGCTTCTCAATGTTGAACGGCCGGCTCTGAACAGTGCAGCAAGCAGCACGTCCTCCCCTTTCTCCCCCCTTTTCATCACCCCTATCTCCCTCTCCCGATGCAGCCAGGAAACAGGTTTCCGCCAGGTTGGAACCTCCTGGCGCGCTTGCAGCACACAGGGAAACGCAAGAACCAGCGCCCGGTTGCCACACTTTTTGCCACAAACCCAAACCCATGCACGTGCAGCGGATGCACGGTCCAAAGCAGAGCTTGAGACATGTACGCAGGTCATTGACCATGAAGGCCATGAAGGCCGCGATCTTGCTGCTGGCTTCATGGCTGGCAATCGCCAGCTTGCCCCAACAGCGCCCGCCACATGTGCTGAACATCTAGACCTTAAAGCCCTATGACCAGCAATGAAGGCTATGACGATAGAGACTTCAGCTGAGAGCCCAGCTTTTCGCAGCACGGCTACATGTCCGACATGTCTTGGCTTGCCTAAATTCGAGCTCCCTTCTCCATGGATGTGCCCAGTGCCCAGCCTGCACCTATCAACTATCGCTACATCCATGCCGACATGCAATGTCGACACCATTCCGGACTCCGGACCTTGTCATCCGATAGGTAGGAGCCCGGGAGCTGTGCAAGCAGCTTCTTGAGAGACCTCGGCTGAGAGCGCCCCAAATGCGCGTTCAAGTCACAGCAAGGATAATCAGAAACGGCGGCGAAACAGAAGGCAGAAAGTAAAGGAGAAGGGCTAAGCAAGAAGCAAGGCATCCGAAGGTGGAAAGCAAGAATTAAGAAGAAGCATTTCGCACCCCAGAGCAGCGCCAAGCACCAAGTGAGTACGGGCGGCGCAGAAGCACTTGGAACCTGGCCTCCCTGGCACATGTGGCGTGACTCTGAGCAGTTTACATGATTCATGCGCATTGACTGCATTGACGGCTAGACTCCAGACACAAGCGAAGGAAAGGCCCAAGTTCGTTGAGAGGGAAATGCCCCTTGTAGCCATACCAGACATTACCAGACACCAAACCAACTGTTCACAAACTTGCACATGAAGCTGACAGGATTTTGGAAGAGCGGAGGTGCAGAGCTATGTGTGCACATCAAGCCCGAAGCCCATCCCCAGAATCCAAAAACCTGGAAGAAGACGTCCAACTTGTTGTCGGTGTCCAAAAGCTTGCGGTAACAGACCTGGACCCAGTATGCACGAATCGCAAATTTTGCTCGAAAGCTCTGAGTTTGCTCACCCCCTCGAACCCGAACCTGTCTGAGTTTCTAAGCCTTGCCTGTGACCGGGGAGACTCTCAGGAGGCTAGGGAGACAGTCTTACCCGAAACCAACTCTATACAATTACAGTCGGCGACATGTAACTGTAACTGATCTCTGTTACACTTCAGCGTAGATCGTCGAGCCGGGCCGCGGTGAACGGCAGTGTGCTGACCGGGAAATGCTGTATGTTCGAACATCCTCCTCGAAAGCCACGCCTACTTTCGATTTTCAGGGCCTCCGAAATGAAGGCATCAAATACGGCCCGTTTCATGCGTGCGCTGATGTCGCGGCTGGCGTGCATCATTTTGTTGAGGAGGAGGCTCTCTGGTGCAGGCAGCACTGAGCGCCGACAGGCGCCGATGGCGAACTCAAGCAAGTGACTCTATTTGTTTTGAGTCGGACAGCAAAGACGCTGTAAGGACAGGTGGCAGGTCTGCAGACTAACTGGCTGTCGGCAAGAAGTGGGGATGACTGTCATAACAAGCCGGACTCCTCTTTGGGTGGGTACGTTTATGCTGCGAGTGTTCCGAAAACGCTGGATACCGCACTTCTTGATTTTCAATCATGGCCCAGTATTTGTGACGTTTCTGGAGCAACCCTTCAAACAACATGCTCAAAACATTGGTGCGGTTTGCTTGCTTGCCGACTCTGGCAACGCTCAGTCCAAGAAACATGCTAACACGTCTGTATGGCAAGTTCTTGCATTGGCGGACGCCACGGCCCAGTCAACGTTGACGTATGGAACTGGAAGGTACGTCAACGTGCCAAAACGAAATAGCTTTACAGGCATTGAATCAAACCAAGCTTTCTGCCGTCCAACCGAAATAGGTCAAATAGGTGCACGAAACCACAGGCGAAACCACAGGCGAACTCCAGCATCTTTAGCTGGTCATGTGTTTTCGTACTTGTTCTGGCGATGCAAAACAACTCCGCAAAGCTGCGCGTTGCAACCGTGCCTTGACATAGGCATAGGCCCGTATGTCACACTATTGCACCATATGTCACACTGATCCGCTGCTCGCCTTCACGTCCACCTCACTGTCGAACTGCACCATTAGCGCCCCAAAGCGTCCATCCTCCAGGGCTTCAAAATCCCAACAATATGGTGAGCGTGGAGGCGTTTGAAGCGGGAGCGCATTTCACCGAACTTTTTTGTTTTGCAGCAAGCACCCGAAACACCAGAGGCTGAAGCATGCACGGGACTTGACGGCGCTCAAGCTGTGTTTTGAAGCTGGCTTTTAAAGGGAGGCCTCCCTCAATGTCTCTCAAGTTAGCTTCCCGTCAACTGCGTGTATGACTTTTTCTTCTGAGGCGCTAAGGTGCACACGGGACCCTCTGCGAGCACGCTTGTGAGCCCAACCCCCCCAACCAGCTCCAAGCAACAAGAACCACAGCATGGTCTCGACGTGTAAATGTGCAAAAACACGACGTGTAGAGGCGTCGCATCTCAATGTTCTTGGTGTAGAGTGACCTTTGAAAACGATTCCTGGAACTGGTACCATCCCTGTTAGTGTAGTTTCACGGTCTCCTGGCTCAAGCGCATCGGCTCAGCAGTGAGGGGCAATCGCCGCTAACTGGCGTCGTTTG